TCAGTGATAAAACTTGTTCTAGCATCTGGCAGCTTGCTGATTTGTTTGCGCTGGGAGAGCTAATGAAGGAGGCTAAAAATCACTTTTCGCGGCACTTTACTGAAGTCACTCAGATGGAAGAATTTTTGTCGCTTCCAATTGGTTTCCTGAAAGAGATTCTTGCTGATGAAGGTATCTGTGTGGTTATTGAGAGCCTGATTCCGTCCAAAGAGGAAAGGGAAAAGGTCGTGTTGGAAGCCGTTTTGAAGTATGTTGAGCATGATATCGACAACCGAAAAAGACATTTTCCAGAATTGTTATCCTTGGTACGACTTCCAACTTTATCAGAGTCTTATCTGGAAGAAATCTCAGAACACAAACTTATTGCAGACTCCAGCAGAGGAATCATTTCAAAGGCTCGGAAGCTGAAAACTGATTCCCCCGAGAAAGATTCAGCCGATGAAATATGGGCGAGCACTCGGGCGTTTGCCAAACCTGCTGTCAGTTGGGGGCGTTCCTTTGCTAATGGTGGCTACGTACATCCTGAAACATCTCATCACAACAACACAGAGGCTGTTGAAGATCTTGGCAGTGACGTCTTCATAAAGGGAATGAAACTTTGGATTCGACGCTGGGATGGGAGGCCTGTTCTGGGAGGGCTGAAGATTTTTTATAATCATAACGGTGACCAAGAGATTATGATGGGAAGTGGCTCTGATCAGTCCGAACACCATGAATTTCACTTGGAAAAAAATGAAAGGATCGTCAAAGTTGATGTTAATTCTGGATGGATGATTGACCGCCTCTCCTTTTACACAAACAAGAAAGATGAAAATGGTGATCCTAAATGTTATGGTCCTTATGGAGGGGATGGTGGAGGATACTACACTGAGACTCAACCAGGGTCATACGGTTTCCTAGCAGGAATTGGTGCTGCTGTTGTTGACTCACAGGGTGAAGAAGGTATCACCAGACTTCAGTTTGCATGGAGGGTATATGTGCTTCCTGGTGACCCAGAGCCAATAAAAAGCAGATGCAAAGCTAACGATGGCTTCTATGATGATGAGGAGAGTTATGATTATGACGATTATGATGATGACGAAGATTTCGATGGTTATGAAGATTATGATGGTTATGAAGATTTTGATGACTTTCTCGTTGCCGCAGAACAATTAAACAACCTAGATTATAACTAGTTTAGAAAAAAAGGATAATGGTCAACAGAAGACTTTGTCTCAAAGTGATTCCTCAGAAAAAAAAGTTATCAAACAATTTGTTAAACTTTCCTTAAATATTTGCTACCATTGTCTTAAAAAATTCAATAGAAAAGATGGTTCACTGTGCTTGTTTAATTAAGAGGTGTGATGGGCACTAATATGGAATAATATAGAGAGTTATGATTATAACAATTATGATGACAACAAACATTTTGATGGTTATGAAGGTTATGAAGGTTTTGATGACTTTGATGATATAATTAATCAGGAAGGTGGAATACAAATTTACATGTTTGAGCCATTTGCCTGAGATTGTGGTAAGAATGGATGTAGAATTTATTGATCATTAACCTGCCATAAAATTTATTATGTCTTTCTGGGTATTTCTTCCAAGAAATACTTGCAGGGTTGAACATGTAAAAAAATTTTTTTTGTTGTATTGTATAGCCTTCTCTGGAAAGAGGGTAGGAAACTTTGGCTGTCTGAAAAAGAAGGCATTCATTATGATTTTTTATGTTGTTACCTGAATTTGATAACTTTTTTTGCCCATCAAAGTAAGTACTGCTTACAGATAGTAGAATCAAAATCCATTGGTGTACTCTATATGTGATTGGTTACATAATACAGAGTGTGGCCATTAACTTCTAAGGGAGTCTTGCTTCTTACCTTGTAGATGTTGTCTTCAAGGTTTTGGGGCAGGTACACTTATGATCCAGACAAGAGAAACACCACACTTGTCTGAACTGATAAAAAAGTTGAAAAGAAACTTTCATGCCCTGACACGTGAGGAAACTGCTTTGATCAGTCAGAAGAATTTGGTGCTTTGTTTAGACAACAACCCAGACCCTTAATTTTCATTACCAGACTGTTTGACAGTGTCTTGAAAGAGCAAGCAGAATTTGTTTGGTACTGATCACACCTAGAATTGAGATTGATTGAAGGCCCTAGAGAATATTGAATCTGACTCAGGTTTTCTTTTTAACCTGATGAATTTTAATCCTGAGTTCACTGCCTACAATACTCATAGTTGTGTTACTGTGACAGCTTAAATCTAGCATGGTGCTTTTCATGTTTCAAACAACTTAATCCAGAAAATTTCATGTCTAGCTTGTGTACTACAGCTTTTTGTTTGTGTTCTGATGCAATGCCAGTCGGGAGAAAAATTCTCCAGTCACCATAGATTATAACTAGTTTAGAAAAAAAGGATAATGGTTATCATAAGACTTTGTCTTAAAGTGATCCCTCAAAAAATAAGTTATCAAACAATTTATTTATACTTTCCTTAAATGTTCTTTACCATTGTCTTGAAAATATACAATAAAAAAGATAGTTTGCCATGCTTATTTTATTAAGAGGTTTAATGGGCACAGTAAATTTTGCAGAAGTTGGAAGCAAGGCTTTTTAAAGTATGGAATGACACAGAACAATTTTATATATAATTTGTGGAAAAATCACAATTTTAAACAACATTGACTTCAAAAATTTCTCAAATCATCCATGTCAAGGTCATAATTTGCATCAAGTGACAAGTGAATATCTGTTTTTTTTCTTTAATTGATTTTTTTTATTTCTCCAAGTTAAAGGGGATAATAAGTACACCAAAATTATGCAATAAAAAATATAGGTGACCATGCTTATTCAAGAGCTAAAGACCATGGCACCTCTTTTGTATTAATTAAAAAACAACATGTTTTTGGAATGCATGCGCTTATTTGCCAGTTTATGTGAGTTTTATGTGCAGTACAGGATGGGCAATGAAATACGAAGGAATCACCTTAAAATGGCTTATGTCTGTATGGCTTGTATTTAGTCATATCACTGATTGTTCCAATTGTACTTAACCCTTTCACTCCCAGTGGTGACCAAATTGGAATTTCTCCTAACAGTTCCACTGAAGTTTTAGGCAAAAGGTTGTTGAGAAGAAAGAAACATGTCGATTAGCAGACACCCTCTGATTTGACACTAAATTCTCTAAGCAAAAATTTTTTGAAATGCATGGCAGACAGTGTGAAGAACTAAAATTTAGATCTGAGGAGTGAAAGGGGGAATGGTTGCCAGACCCCTTGTGATTAAAAATTGTCAAACACCTGAGCTCACTTTGTATGCTTTACCTCTCAGCGACTGCACCACAACTTTTAAAAATGCATCAAGTATTAATTTTCATTATTTTTATTTTTACAGGTAGAAAGACCTTATATGTTGTTGAGTATGTGGTACTTGCAAAGGACTTTTTAAGGACAATGTAGCCAATGCATCCACTGAAACTAGTTTAAATTTGTGGCTATAAATACAAAACTATTTTTTTCAGCCATCTACTGGAGGGCATTCATCATAGAACTTTTTCTTAAAAATTCTTTGTGAATGTTGAGAACCAACATTTTGTGTTACAAATTTTGTGTATTCAGGACCTTAAAAGTCAAATTTTGTTTGTTTGTATTATATAAAATTATTATTTTCACAGTGATTTTTTAAATAAATTTCTATTGATGATACACTCAGAGCTTGAGTCAAAAGTTGACCCCTTCATGATGTTTGGGTTGTTTTTTCTGGTGGAAGCAAACATTCATTTGAGCTCTGTGATGCAGGTGTTGGTATAAGTTCATTAGTCAAGTTCAGCCTTTGTGTGATGGACCTTGCACTAGGGGTAGCAAGTCAGAGTTTTTCTTTTGTTTAATTGTTCAGTAATAGATTGCAGATGGTATCAAAATGTGTCAAGGACAAGAAAAGTGGCACATGAGGTGCATGAAAATCATTTGATAAAATTTGTTCCGAATATATAGCTGCTTTAGAAATCTTTGACAGGGAACTTGAGCTTTTTTGGAAAGTGTGAAAGCTGTATCCATAGTTGAAAGAACTCAAGACCTGTAGGTTTAATTAAGTAGCTAGGACAGTTAAAAATGTGCTTGAATCTATTATTTCCCACTTTGAGGAAGTCTTACTTTAATTGAATAACCAGCCTTTGCATGATGAAACTTTAGCTGGAGGTAGCAACACCTCTTCACTGTAGCAGACATCTTTTGAAATGGACATACTCTGTGTGTGCTAAGGGGAGATGTGGTTGTAAGGGTAATGCTGAAGAACTTTTAGTGAGTTATGCACAACATACAACGTATGATGTCTACACCAGGTCTCCGATTCCATGAATCCTGACTTTATCATACACATCCAATTGACTTTCCTCTTTGAATTATATACACACTAGACAGAGCCTCTCAAAATGCCACATGTATCTAGAGTCTGAAAAGTCCGGCATATCTTCACTCCTCTCTATTAAAAACTGCAAGTTCCCAAGAGAGATTGTAACGTACCTACTTCCGAATTCCAAAAAAGTGGACAAGAAGAGTCACCTCATCGAATGTCCACTACTAAATCCCAGATATTATTATTTATTTCTTTGGAAGATGAAAACTATGTGAACTCTTAGATGAAAAGAAATCGACAAAAGACATGGTCACAAATTGAAGATCATCCCTGTCATTTCATGGAGATTAACTCATTCGTTTTTCAGGATAGCTCCAAGATTACACACAGCTTGACTACACTACCAAGCCAGTCACCAAATCACTACCCTTTCAGGGACCGCGCCGAGGGAGGAGCTGGGGGGGGGGGGAGGGGGGCTTTAGCCCTCCCACCTTTTTGCAAGAATAAAAATAAATTAAACAAAAAATAATTTAACCAAAAAAATTTCCTTCACGCATTCTTCTTTAGCCCCTCCACTCGAAAACTTGCTGCGCGGTCCTTGCCTTTTCCTCCTTTTCCCATTTTCACCAAGTAAGCTCCATTTCAAGCCTCTCATCAATTTTCAAATTGTCCATTCTCTGTGCAAATAAAGTACTCTACCGCTTTCCCTTTTTTTATTTGGAGATGGTGTGCTCCTGACTTTAAGTGATATTGTTTCGTTTACAAACTTGAAAAAGCAAGACATTTTTCAAACCTCCTCGCACTCTCCTCGGCTGAATTTAGATCGCAAGGCCTTGGGAACGAGATTGTTGGGAGGACAGTTTCAGCCGAGCAAAAACTGGAATTCAGTCAATATTCTCGTTTCAACATGGCCACTGGAAAGGGATATTTTCCCCTTCTTGGCCGGTCGTATTCGACAAATATTGATCTCTCGCTCAAAAGCGATTCAAATAAAATCAAGCACGGCATGCATTGTGATGTCGCTTTAAAGATCAGCCAAGACCGACGACTTCGAGCTCATCGTGTTGTTCTGGTCTCGTTTAGTCCTTACTTTAAAGCCCTACTTGGGAAACACTGGGACGATGGAGTGGAAAAAGAGATAGAATTTCTTGGTTTTGACTAGAATGCTGTCAGTGATTTGATCGAATTCGCATATTCGGGCAAAATTAATATCAACAAAGACAATGTGCAAACTTTGCTTGAGGCATCCAATTATTTGCAGGTGGAGTTTGTCAAGAAATCATGCGGAGATTTCTTGAAAGATGCAATCGATGATGAAACTTGTCTTAACATCTGGCAGCTTGCTGATTGTTTTTCGCTGGAAAAGCTAAGGGAAACTGCCAAAAGGTACGCCCTGCAGCATTTCACAGAGATCTGCAAGGAGGAGGAATTTCTCTCTCTTCCAATTGGTTTCCTCAACGAGATTCTTGCCGATGAAGGTATCTGTGTAGTCATCGAGAACCTAATTCCGGTTGCAGAGGAACGGGAAAGGGCGGTGTTGGAAGCTGTTTTTAAGTATGTGGAACATGATCTAGCAAACCGAAAAAAGAATTTGCCAGAATTGTTATCTTTAGTACGACTTCCAACCATATCAAAGTCTTATTTGAAAGAAATCCTGTTACATAAGCTTCTTGCAAACTCGTGCACAGAATGGATTGCAAAGGCACAGAAACTGCAAATTAATTCCTCTGAGAAAGACTCACTGGATGAAAGGTGGGCAACCACAAGGGCATTTGCCAAACCTGTAGTCTGGTGGGGGCGTTGCTTTGCAAGTGATGTGCGGAGACTTTCTGTAAGATCACATCACAGTGACGAAATGATTGTTGAAGATCTGAGAAATGATGTGTTTATAAAGGGAATGGATTTATGGATCCGCCAATGGTGTGGGACATCTGTACTAGGTGGCCTAAGGATTTTCTACACTGGTGACAGAGAGGTGAAGTTTGGAAGTGACTCCAGTCACTGTGAACACCATGAATTTCACCTGAAAGAAAATGAGAGGATTGTTAGAGTTGAAGTAAACTCTGGACTGATGATCAACCAGCTCCAATTTTTTTCAAACAAGAAAGATGATAATGGAGAACCTAAATGTTATGGTCCTTATGGAGGGGATGGTGGAGGATTCTTCTCTGAAACTCCACCAGGGTCGTACGGTTTCCTAGGAGGAATTGGTGCTGCAGTCGTTTACTCACAAGGTGAAGAAGGTATCACCAGACTTCAGTTTGCTTGGAGGACCTATGTGCTTCCTGGCAACCAAGAGCCAATGAAAAGCAGATGTAGTGTTAATGATTACTTTCATGATTACGATGATGATGAGGATGATGAGGAGAACTTTACATTTACAGGATGGGGATGGGTGTGATATTAAAGAAAGGATAAGACCTTGTTTGGGACTAAAAATGGTGAATAAACATGTCGCGACCTTTTCTGCATTTATGAAATTGATAAAAAACTTTTAAAGAACTCAGTTGGCACTTTTACTCTGGTGTGAGCAATCACGAACTTTGTTTCATTTTTATTGTTCAATTTCAGGCATGTGCTCATTGGTTAATTCGAATGATGTGAATTTTAATGACATAATATGTTTTGTTGCATGTGCAAAAAAAAATGTGGATTTGGGATTTTTGAGTCAAACTAGACTTGTCATGTTCCTGCAGCATTTAAAGGGGTTTTCTAATCAATTTTACAGATTTTGAGGGCTGTTGGGAAAACTGTCAGATTAATACATATATAGTTAATCTGGTGGTTTTAATAACAGTTTCAAATAGATTCTAGTCACTTTAGTCATATTTGTATGATGGTTAAATACCCGTCTCAAACACTGTATTTTCCATCTGATGTATGAAAAGCAACTTTGGAACTTTCAAAACTATAAGGATAATTTTTATGTGGTGAGAAATATTCTTTATAATACAGTCTGATACAAAGTCAGAAACAAGGGTAAGATTGCCGCACAGCCCCTTACTTCATAGTTCTTGGATAAAGATTGCTAACAAATAATTGATTGCCTTTGGGACTGTGGCTTTGTTTTAGAGTGATATGAGGCTGTGCGGAAATCTTTCTGGAACAAGATTAGAACATTGCACTACAGTAGGAACAGTTAACTGCAATGTGCATAAAATATATGAAATGATAAATGTCATTCAAAACATTTCAAGATGTGAAAAATAAAATAAGTTATTTTACAGATTTTTGGCCAGTACTCTCAATTTTTTTTTCTATGCAAGGTTGTGCTCTAAGAAAAATTGAAGGGTGCTCAGAGCTCTGAAACTGTGAAATTCAAGGTGCTCAGAATATGCTTTTTATGGAAAAACTAAAATTCCTAAGTTGCCCATGAGCAAAAGTTAGGCCCCAGGGCCCACCGGGTGCTGCTAGACCACAGCCATGCTATGCGATTCTACTTTATGGACAAATGTCAACTTTGACATCAGTATTGCATAGGAGTCAAGATAAAAAAGCCTGTGTCCAAGAGCTAGCTGGGGGAATTGCAACACATAGCTCTCTAAGCCAGTCTGTCTAACCAAGAGTTTAAATATGAAATCAGAAAATCGATGAAAACATCACTTGCGTCACCGAATCACAAACGGTTACCCCTTTCAAGCCATCAGTGTCAAAGCCGGGAAACCAGTCTCATCCAATGGGATCACTTCGGTGAGAACAGTGACGTCATGATAAAATTTGCATACCATATTAGTCTCGATAGCTAAGGATCGCTGTTTCGATACCTGAAGGTGATATACTTCAGTTTTGTCATCGCTTTAAAATTTCTGTCATTTGCTAATGTTTTGTTATACAGAGCTTCACATATTACTCGAAAATTCGATTCTGACTTTAATTAGTTAATTTTCCAGAAAAAAAAACTGTCCTGTGCTGTGTTCAACGGGTTGCCCAGAGGAAGTTTTCTTGATTATTTGAGGGCTTTCATCCAAGGAATAAAATTTTCAAAATAAAATTGCGATGACCTAAAACTCAGCTGCCAACCCCCCTACAAATGGTGGCTCGACTACTTATTGTCACGGATAGAAACGAATTTAAACCTCTTGAAAAAAGTTACCAAGCGACCGGAAAGAAAACATTGCCAAGTTTTTTTCTTCAATTTGTGGAGTGGATCTTTTTTTCTAATCCTGCCAGAAAAAGGAAACTGACTGTACTTTCCCGAATTAATTTTTACTCGGAGGCAATGAAATAACGTTGCTTTTCCAACACTCAATAGCGCAAAATTTTGACTTACGAAAGTTTTTCATGACGAAAACTTTTTGTATAATCAGTTTTTTGTTACGATCGAAATAAGCAGTTGCGTAACTCAGTAGGGCTAACTAGCTTGTGACGCTTGCCACTTTTCATTCCATGAGTTTCAAACAGAATAAACCCATTAATAGCTAGTAGACTTTATCTGATTCTTCATTAGCCGGGGTAATGTACAGCAACCATTATCTGAAGAAAAATTACGCGTATTTAAAAATTGATGACAAAATATCATCAAAGTAGCCTCGTGATTTTCATTGTAATCCTAAAATAGACGAATTCATTTAAAATTTTGCCGTGGACAAAGAAATCATTCGAAAAAACTGAGGATTGAAAGACAGGAAACTAAAGAAAATTGTTTTCAGAAAGACTCCAGATAATTAAAATGGAATTTAATACATGGTACAGCACAGCACTCCGAGCGTTTGATTCAAAATTGGCGTCAAGACGCGACGAGAGTTTTCAGGGTTTTTTTCTTTTGAACATCGACGTTATGATAAATTCAGTCATACATCTCACCACAATACATTGACCTTGTTGCAAAATAGAGTGCAAAGAGGGTTTAATTTGGTGTTCTTAATTTCAAACCGGGCAAACCTGAGACTCCTCGTTAAATCGAGAAAACACGTCAATGATTCTTTACCACATGTTGACAGGGTTGCATGTTAAAATTAAAATGTTTTGAAATGTACTATCTCCGCAAAAATTGTGCCCCCGATTACGATTTCATAGCTTCTAAGAGATATTTATTTATTCTATTATATTTTAAATAATTTAATTCAGCAATTTTTCTTTGTATTTTTGCGCCTTCTTATTTATGAGAAAGGATCAACATTTTTCTTAGTAAAAAGGAAGAAGACTTGTCTTAGTTTCCTTAATATCTTTTAATGCTACGGCTTCCTTTTCAGTCTGTGATTCCAGCTGATGTTCTAAGTCGAGATAAAAATAAAACAACAAGAACAATACAATATATTTTTCTCTTTTTTCCGAAAAAAGCTTGTTTTGTCTGCTTACCGCGGCGCGCGTCAAATTAGGGAACAAAAGTGACATAAGTAAAAAGATTGCTGTGAATTATACTTCCGGTGGGTCACGTGACTATCTGCCGCCAGCTGCTTACTCTCGCTTAGCGATGAAGATAAACATCGCTTGTGGTTCGTCCGTCTTTCTGTGAAGGAAAAACTTCACATGAAAGGAAACCAGTTTCGAAAATATTGATGTCGAGTCCTTCACGCCAGGTTGGAAATCGTCGGCTTCCTCCTCTACCAAGCGGTTCGCGCTACAGCCCTATTTATCAGCGCGCTTCGAACGGTCATGGGACTTCGCCTGTTTCACAGGCAAAGGCAGCGAAAGGGCCTTCTAGCAACCGAACATCAAACAACCATGGTCAGAGCAGTCATATTACCCACATTGATCTGACCGCAAGCTTTGGCGATGGGCCGTTTCGGCCAGCTTTGGTACAGGGAAAAGCGATAGGAAATGGCCAAGGTTAGTGCAATTTTTTAAACGAGTTCGAACCGCGTTAATGATAGCATTGACCCTTACAATTTCACGGCACTATTCTCGCACAATCTCACTTTTGTTATATATTGATACAACGATCATGAAGTTTGAGTGCGTAAGATTTTGTTCAGAAATTCAAACTTAATCATGTGTTCTTTTGCATCGCGATCTGGCTTGAAGATATTGTTTGCTCCGAAGAAACAAAAATTTGCCCCGTGTCCTACGCTCTTAAATAATTACCAACCTTTTTCCAGTTAAATTGATTTTCATGATTTTCTTTTTTGTGTGTAGGCGCTGTTTTGTGCCGAAAATGGTATTTTCAAAGAAAGATATGATCTGTCTCTACTTTGGGTTTATTTTATTGCTCCTGTTTATTTTTTCCAAATCTTAGCTGATGTCGATGAAGAGGCGGTGCGTATTTTTCTCCGAGCAAACCCTGTGTTTTTGGAGGATTATGTGATGAAACATGTCGATCAAGACCGTTTGGAGCGATGGCTCATTAGGAAGACGCGAAAATTGAAGATTAAAGCGGGGAAGAAGCCTTCAAGTTCTCTCGATCATGAAAATAATAAACAAAGTGGTAAGCGGCCTGTTTTAATTTGGGACAATGTCAACTCTACCGTCATTTGAAGTAACGAGCAGTTAAAGTATTTTTCGGTGTGCTCCCTTTATATAAGTAAATGGCGCAATTTTATACATTTTTTTTTATACAGACCCACATCGTCCATCTCTGTCGAAGTGGAAGGTAAGCAAGCCAAATGATATTGCAGTTTGTACGTACATGTGTTCTTTTTTTGTTATTTGAGGCATAAGATATCCTTCACTGGTTTGTGAGGCCACTTCCTTTGACATTTGAAATTGCCGCACTCGAAACATTGACATTTAATCTTTCAGCGATCGCCGTTTTCCTTTAAATTTTATTTTTATTTCGTTATTCCTTCAACAAGGTTTTCCGTTCGTTAACAAATTAACCGAGGTCATGGATCCCAAATTGAAAATATTCTTAACACCAACTAGGATGTACTGCGTTACATTTGCGTGCAGTTTCACAACATTATATCAAAAACATCTGTAAGAATGAGTAACTTAAATGATTCAATAGATATATTAAAAAAAAGGATATTTTTCCAGCCAAACGAGAGACTCAGGTTTGAAAAATAATTTACTTTAAAAGAAAATACTTGAATGTCGTCAGAGAACTGTCAAATTGTAATATGGTTAAACTCTTAGTCTGCAACATCTGCTCCTTGTATTTTGAATGGGTCATACTTTAGTAAATAATAAAATTTAGCTGCTGTCATCATCGATTAATAAATTTTTTAAATTTCTATTGACCATTGAAGAGTTTTCCTGTACTAATAAATTGAATGGGGAGATTTAGATGTCACAGGAAAATGACATGAAAAAGAAAAAGAACTTTCATTTCTCCAATGAATTTTTTTGGGAGCTTACAATGAATACCTTCTCAAACAGTGCCAGATCTCTCTAATAGCATAACTTGTAAATGTAGTGCCAACTTCGAAGTAGAAACAATAATATTTTGCTTGAACAGTCTCAGTTCTCAGACTCCATAAAATTTGGTGATTTCAATATTTTTTGTTTTGTATTGGAAAATTAAAAAAAGTAAGAATTGTTTAAACACACATGCAGAGCTGTTGTTGTGCTCATTAAGTCTTAGTTGTTTTCCTACATTCTTGTTTCTGTAGGGGTCATATTTTCAATTTGCCAGTTTCTGTGGGGGTTATGTTTTTCAATTGCTAATATACCCAATCCTCCCTCTCCACCCACCCCCAATTTCTCAATTTTCAAGTGGTGGTAATATTCCCCCCTCCCCCTTCCCCCCTGGTTTCTGCAGGAGTCATATTTTTCAGTACCAGTAGAAATATTCCTATTCCCTATCCCTCCATCCCACATGGTGTTTGAGGGCTTAAGAGGATACCCCTATTTTATTGATTTTTTTGGATAGAAACCAGAAATTATTCATTCCTATCCCTATATCACCCTTGAAATTGTTAGGCTCTCTCAAGTTTTAATTCCCATTAAGCAGGATACTTCCCCTGGTAAAGTAGTTAAGAGGATTATATGATTTATCAAGATAATACCTCTCAGGTTCAGTGCTCTTTGTTCTTATCGCTAGCTTTTTGGAAAATCCTATTTAATTCACTTGTGTGGGTTACATTTATTTGTAACATGCTTAATTGTGTTACAAATACTCTGTTCAAGGCCAGTGGGTTTTTATGGGTAACCCACCTAAAAAAATTGACATTGAGTTTTCAAAAAGCAATTTATTGTAAGGAAATATTTTGTCACTGTTAAAGGTAACCATTTAACTCCTAGATCAAGTTTGTAATTCTCCTTACTGGCAACTATACAATCCTTATGTTAATTCAGAGAATTTAGTATTGGATCAACTAAATTTGATCCAATTTTGATTTTATCCCC